AACAAGTGCCTCGCTTCTAGTAACCAGTGCCTTACTAGTAGTAACAAGAAGCTAGTAGTAACAACAAGAAGCTAGTAGTAACAAGTGCATCGCTTCTAGTAACCAGTGCCTTACTAGTAGTAACAAGAAGCTAGTAGTAACAAGTGCATCGCTTCTAGTAACCAGTGCCTTACTGGTAGTAACAAGAAGCTATTAGTTAATTTACTTTAATTTTAATTCAATTCTAATAGCTTTTTTTTTAATTCAATTCAATTCTAATAGCTTTTTGCTCCTAGTAGTAAGGCCAGGAGCCCCTAGTAGCATCCTTGCTCCTAGTAGTAAGGCACTTGTTTCTACTAGCTTCTTGTTACTACTAGTAAGGCACTTCTTACTACTAGCGAGGCACTTGTTACTACTAGCGAGGCACTTGTTACTACTAGCGAGGCACTTGTTACTACTAGCGAGGCACTTGTTACTACTAGTAAGGCACTTGTTACTACTAGCGAGGCACTTGTTACTAGTAATGGATGTTTGGTGAGAAAACAAGCTTCTTCGATTCAGAGGAGTCCAGTTTCTCGACTTGCTTCACGTCGTAACCGTCCCCACTGCGATGAATTGGGAGTCCCCAAATCAATTTTGTCGCGTGGTTCCCTTATTTCATGTAAAATCATATAAAGCTGCATCCTCGCACATTGTATCACTGGATGCCAGAGCAGAGTGATACTCTGCCTTTCCAAAGACTCAAACATCGAGGCTTTGACGACCATTGGAGGCCATTAACCACCAGCTTCCACAGGTTCACACACAGAAACCTCGAGAGTTTCAACGCGCCACAGTGAGTCGTGTGCTCTGTGTGCCGCGGCCGCGCCCTGAGGCCACGACTCACCGGTCTTGGCCCGAAAGATCGTGTCCAACTTTTCCAAACGCCCTGAGAAAATGGCGCGGCGGTGCGACAGGTATTCTTTGTCGACACTCAAGTTCTGATCCGAGACATGAATGTCTGACAGAGAAGTCAGTGCGATAAAACTATCAAGCTTGCACTTTGGCTTTTTCTTTAGACCTTGAGATCCATTTTCCCTTGTTTTGTTCATGTTAATCGGTTTAACTGTGCTACTTTTCATACCCTTTTAATACCATAGAATACCTTCTTTTAGACTTGCATGGTTTCTTACTCACACATTCGCATCACACATTCGCATCGGCCTACGACCGCGGGTCGCGGAATGGAGCGCTTTCGCACTTCCATGACGAAGCGGGGTACCTCAAAGAAAGCGGAGAAGAAGCCGATTGATTGTTTTTTTGAAATAAGGGTGTTATAAGTTATAGTTATATCGTTGTTTCTTTTTGGGGCAGGCCGAGGTAGCTAGTAGTAGCTTGGTAGCTAGTAGAGGCCAGGTAGCTAGTAGAGGCTAGGTAGCCAGAACCTACAAGCTACTACCTTGGACGCAGGATAGCTCAGGCGGCGGGGGGGGCTTCCTTGAAGAAGCGCTCCCACTATTCATTTGGTTCCTAGATTCTTGGGAAACTTAAGGTTGGAGGCCATCGCAGGCACGCTGTTCAATCTGTCGTCGTGCTTGCAGTTTCCATGTTGAACATTCAATTCCACATTGACCTGTCTGGGTCAAGGTTGTTTCAAAATGAATTGTTTGTTCTCTTCTTTAGTGGCTATGCACTTTGCCAAGTCAAGGTAACTGAACGCGATCCTCAACATCTTTGAGAATTGATCACAACGAATGAAGTTAATTCAGCTCCAACTGAACAGCCACAGTTGGCGAGCACATTTTGACGAGCCGCAATTGACTGCACAGGAAGTGGCTCACACCGTGCATGGGCACAGTACGCTATGTGAGCATTCAGCAGAGTCAAGACATCAAACGGAACAAATATGTTTAGAACGTTGTTCCCTAAAACCCTTACTGCTGCTATTGAGGAACTCCTTGGAGGGAAAGCAGGTTGACAGGGTGAACTGGCATCGAAACGATGGAAATGAGTTCAACCTAGCAGGAAAGGGAGCAGGTCATCTCCTTCTTGACTCTCCTGGTTGTTTGCTAGAACGCTTGCCTTTCTGTGGGCAAGGCCAGGGGACAGATGAAGGCCTTACTGTGCGGAGAGCAGGACAAGGTAGGTCTCCTTTCGTCAAGCGCCTCCTCTCTTTTGCTTTCAGCGCCTCGAAAATTGCTTGTTGAAGATAGTCTGCCATCTTGACCTGTTGAATCCAAAGAGCCTCCCAATAGTCTGATGTGAGTGCGACATCCTCACAGCGTTCCCAAAGTCTTTGCACCCACAACTTGAAGAGATCAGCTTCTCGTGCATCTTCTTTGGAGCCAGTGCGGACAACATTGATGCTTACCTGTGTCCCTGCTTTAAATGAAAGAATCTGTGAGTCTTCCAAAGGTATGTCTCCATAGACCAATCGATACTCTCTTGAAGATTTGACTCTTTGTGAAAAAACTCGCCGGAGTTCTTCTCCTGAGATCTTCAATGGTGAGTCACATGAGGTGAGAATCTGACCGGAGAACCAATAGAAACTAACTGTTGCTTTAGGCACTCCTGGGGGTGCCTGGCCAACGGCAATTCTGCTCCAGTTTGGTCGTGGTGAGTGGATGATCAGCTCAGGATTCAAGGTACGGGACCGGATTCGGCCAGATATTTCGAACCATGGAGAATCAAACTCCACACCAGGCTTCACACCAGGCAAATCCAAGAGCCAGAAACAACGCTCCATCTGTCTTGAGCACGTCAAAAAGCACAGGAAGGTACCGCACAAATCCCCACAAGAACAACAACTTCTTTGGACTCACAGGTGAAGGAGCGCAGATTGATCAGTTGACACCGCTATCATCATATTTTTGAGTATGGACTCTACACACCTGGGTCCAGCACGTATGGACTGTAGGATACACCTCGCAGCAAAATGAAGAATGCAAGTGCTTCAAGAATCGATAACACGGATGTATTAAAATGAATGGGTAATAGTCATATTGTCAGCATAAAACAATCTATAGTACAGTACTCGAGAAAGTTTCATACTTCCTGGCCCTGCGCAAGGAAGCTCAGAAATGGTATGTGCTCTTATGCAATGAAGCATTCAAGCTCTCAGCTGGAAGGTGAATGGCAGCACTCTGCTGATACGAAATTCGCTCTGCAAACAAGCTGCTTCTCATCACGGTGTACTCAACCTCACCAAGTATCTCACGGGTGAACAGGCAAATGCATGCAATGCATGCGACATAAAACAGAGTTGGCATTAATGTCTAAGTCCATGGTGTTCCAGAATTCCTTCCACATGTCACACAGAAGTCTTCAGATGCCACTTTCCAGGGTTCATTGCACCAAGTTGACCAACCCCAAAACCTTGTCAGGATTTCTCAGGCCTAAATCCACACGCACCACTTCATGAGGCCTTTCTGGAGAAAAACAAAAGTACCAAAAGCGTGGCAATCACCAGGCATCCCACTTGTCCACCATAGGCATCATCCTCCGCATATTTTCGGATGCTGCAGCCCGCCACCTGCACAAGCCACATGGGCCACATGCTTCTCACAATGTGGATGAGTATGCCTCAACATGAAAGAAACAGCGACATGCCTAATTTATGGTGCTGATCGGTCTGTCCAATCTTTGTCCACAGGTTGATCAAAACTGCAGGTTTCGTCTGCAAAGACTCAGCTGCCTCAGGACAGCAAAGCAACTCTTCCCAGCCAAAGAACAACCTGGCAGCGATTCAGAAAAGCGGTTCAATCAGTTCAACGGACGTTTAGGTTGAACGTCTGTTCACTCCAAAGCCCCATGGACTGGAGCTCTTTGGTGCTAACACAGTCCATGGGGCTTTGGAGGCTTTGGAGTCACTGAGCTAATAGCGATGGCCTCCAAGCTCATAGCGATGAAGACACTCATAAGACATTGGTCCCTTTATGTCATAAGACATTGGTCTAGTTTGTAGGTTGTTGATGCACAAAATCCACGAGCAATCCAGGGAATAAGAATTGAAAGCCCTGCCTTTCGCTGAAATAGAGTCGAAAATCCTGATGTGGAAGTTTTCGCGAAAAGGAAACCTTAGCTCAACTCAAGTGAGTCTGTGTTTCAAGAGGGGCCTTTCAGGACAATGATTCTCATGAAACCACAGCAATGGAAGTTGACAGCACAGTAGCAATCATGACCACTGGTATCCGCTGGTCATTAAAAAAATATCATAATAATTGTAATTCTGTCGGGGAGAGATTTCTTACTGTCCCAAAGGAGAGATCATCTCGAGTGAAACCGCCTTTGCGGAAACGGTGATTTCAACCCATGCAGACCAAGCACGCCCATTGGACAGCGTGGATGCTAAATGTTGCGCTGCTTTGGGCTGCAGTAGCTCTACATCAAGTTTTGCTGAAGCTTGTCTCCTTTCAGCTGCATATCAAGTGTGATGGAAACAGATCATGTCCTTGATTCTTCTGCTCATGTGCTCATGAGTGACTAACGCTTGAACCAAGTAGCTAGCCACAGGGCTGTGAGACAGCAAGAGGCAGTGATGTACAGTATATACTCAGGTGAAGCATGTCGGAAAAGGCATAGAAAACACAACACTACAACTACACACAATCCCCGAAAACCACAAAGACACTCCCCTCGGACATGGTCCATTTTCTGCCTCTGCAACTTCATTGGACCTCCCCAATCGGGCATTCATATTGAATGAAGTTCCTTCTCAGCAAAGTCCCATGCGTTGCAGGGCCCGGCCACTCACGAGAGCGTGAAGTGATCAATTATCTTCCGCGTCGTGCCTGGAACCAACGTCGCGCACTGAAGTGGCCACACTTGCAGGTCTTAGCTGGAAAAATGGCCAGTCCACCAAAAGGCACTTGAACAGCTACAGCTAGGCAGCTAGGTCCCGAGCACGGGAGTTTGAGGGTGTCCGGGAGCTCGAATCTCCAATCTAAGAGAAAAGATCGGTTCGTGAGTGCACACGTCGTACATGTAGGATGTGCAATACTGAAACCTCTTGCAAAACTTCACACCACTCTCTCTGAACTCGTGGCCTTATGGCATATGGCCTCTTGGGCAAAGTGAAAAACATAAAGACTGTTTGCGACATGTGACTGCCTCCAACCGATAGTTGTTTAGTTTTGCTCTTTTCAGTGGTCCAACTGCAGGGGTCTCACATGGTCTCACGAATTATTGCGTACACATCGAGCCCTCCCCAAGCGTCACATGCTGCACTTCCGGATTCAAAGACCTGGAAATTCTGCCATTTTGAGCCCTGCAGCCCTGCACCCATTCAAATAGTAGTTTCTTGCTACTAGTAGCGATGGCCTCCACCCTACTAGCGATGGCCTCGGACCTAATAGCA